AATGTTAGTTATTTCATTGTTTTGTGTTGCAGTAGGTAAGTTTAAAATTGTAAAACCAATTATTGATTAATGAAGATTGGGAAGTCTAAGACGCATTCGTGTTTTCGGCCACATTTCTTCTTCGCGCAGCTTCCTCCATGGTTAAATTTTCAAATGTGGAGAAGTTGTAACCCTGTCTCTGTGAAAATAAATATGTAAAAATTGTTGGCATATCCTTTGAGCAGGCAAAACTCCAAATTTTACACCTGCCAAGAAAACCCTCCATACGGTAGTGTCTCATGTGAGCATTTTGGCCCATGGGCCTCTTGTTTATTAACTTAAAAGTACATATGACTGGTTTCCTTAAATTTGATCAGATGAAAAACTAGATATTAAGTTGATACATCCAATGGATTAGCACCCACTCAGAGTTTGAGGAATCATATACACATTTTCTTGCTTAGAGACTTAATTTTTCAAGTGTAAAGCAATAAAAAATGTCACAATCCAACTTATCTATAGAAGCCCAATAAAAATTTTAATAAAGTAGTTTCTTGTGAATTAAAGCAATTTGGATGCAATGAAAATGAATTTGGGCATTAAATTATTTGATTAAGCATATAAATTTAACTATTTTTGACTTTAAAGGTTTTTTCAAAGGTTTGTTCTATTTGTTTAAGGATGAATATTTTAACACTAAAGGAATTAATTTTTTTTTCATATCTTTAAATGATGTGTTATGTAATGGATTTCACACTTTTTTAGATTAAATATGCCACCATATGTTCTTTTTTACTGTCTTTGCATTGTTATTTATTATGTTAATTAAGTATTAAAGTTAATAACCAGACATTTCTATAATGTCATATATTTCAAAGTTTTACATCTGGTCTTCAGATCTGAAACATTTATGTGCAGGCTGTTTCATTTCAATGGCAAAAGTTTGCATTATTCCATCATTAATAATTGTTTTATTTTAAGAATCTCTTCTTTTTTCCTTCGCCTCCTTTTTAAGTGTTTTCAAAAAATTAAATTACATCATTAGAAATACACATTTCTTAAATAGATAAAAATGAAGAAATTTCAATAAAAAAATCATAATTTTAAAAACAGCAATATATGTACATAAATAATTATGATAATGAATCATGCTGGTGTGAAAATATCGTATATAACACACTGTAAAAGTTGTTATTTTAGCTAGATGCAAATTTAGTGCTGTATCCAAAGAAATCTATACATGTATATGTTTTAAAAGAAAAGTAATTCAAGTTATTTCATATTGTCATGAGTGATAGCATATTTCAATATCTGATTTCATGACTGCACAAGGTACCCCTACCACTGAATGTACCATTGAAGAAATGAAATGGAATATTTGTAAAATGTATTTATTGCTTTTATTATACCCCCCGCAAACGAAGTTTGGGGGGTATATAGGAATCACCTTGTCCGTCGGTCCGTCTGTCTGTGCAAACATGTACGGTCCATATCTTTCTTATGGAGGGACATTAGAATCTTCTACTCAGTGTTTTCAATAAGATTTTCAATAGAAGGAAAAATAGATGGAATAGCAGGAAACCAGTCTTGGCGAGGGGTCTGGGGGCCGCCTTAGGCCCCCAGCGGGTCCAGAGCCCTGGTAGGGGGCCCAGGGGGGGGAAGCCCCCCGGCCGAAAACGAAAATCAGCATTTTTTACTCATTTTCTTACCTCTCAGGCTATTAAAAAAGTACCATTTTTTCACATTCCTGTCACTATCAATTATCAAATTTTACCTTAAAAAGCCAATAAGAAAACATTTTTTACCTTTTCACAGATTTGTTTGGCAGTTTTTTGACAGACTGAGTTTTTTTTCTTCTGAAAACTAAGCGTCTATACAAACATATAGACAACTTAAGTATGAAATTCTAGTACAGACAATTGTCTGTGGTAGAATATTATACTGAAAATTCTACATATTTGTCCCTTTCACATAAATTAGTCAGGTCTTTTATTCAAAATTAAAAAAAAAAAAAAAATATTTAGTTAAAAATGTAATTTTTTTTAACACTTGGTGATGTACAGTACCCTCCAAAATTGAAATATTCTGCAATCTTAGACGTTTCATAAATTAATCTTAAAACTCATTTACTTTGGCATTTTCATTTTGTACAGATTGTCAGAACAAAATAATTAAGAAAATGGAATTTGATACAAAATACTTGTACATTAAAACCTTCCCAAATGTGAAAATGATACTGTTCCTGTATTTCAAGATATCTTTACACGAATAAATGAGAATAAAATTTTACATTTTCAGTTTGAGGAAATTCTGTAAGAATTTCTACATGTACGTCTGAGTCACGATCAAAATAATAAGACTTTTATTCGTTATTATTACGTCTTAGCTTAACACTTGAGATTTTCAGTTTGAGGAAGTTCTGTAAGAATTCAACATTTTTCGTAAGGTCTTAAAATTATATTTATTTGCTGTTTTTTCACCGGGGAACCCCTCACTTAATATTAAGGCTGCCGCACAATCAATTTTCAATCAAAATTATAAAACACAAAAAATTCTTTTTGGAAGGGACCATTCTTTATGCCTCTTAATGTATGTGTTCTCAAACGCATGTGTTAAGCAGCAGCAGCACGTTTCTCCACGACTTCGCTCAAATATTTGTTGTCCGCGCCGCCATTGCATGACACGATCGATCTAATCAAACTTTCTTGAAAAAAGAGCGCACTCAAGGGAAGCTACTCTAAATCATGGAAATAGTTGCGATAAAATCTATGAATTTCACGTATCAGCCCCGGCAAAATCTTAATGACGGAAATTTCATAGCCGGCAAAATTTCTCGTACAGGCGGTTAATTTTGCCGGTTGCCGGCTCTTATTGAAAACACTGCTACTCCACACAAAGATTGTCCATGACCTAAGGGTGTGTCATGACCTTGACCCAAGGTCATTTGGGGAAGTTCAAGGTCACTGGAAGAAAAAGTTCATAATTCGTGTCCATATCTTTCTTATGGATAAACTTGGTAGGTTCTCATTTCACACAAAGATTGCCCATGACCCAAGGGTGTGTCATGACCTTGACCCAAGGTCATTTGGGGAAGTTCAAGGTCACTGGAAGAAAAAGTGCATAATCCGTGTCCGGTCCATATCTTTCTTATGGATAAACTTGGTAGGTTCTCATTTCACACAAAGATTGCCCATGACCCAGGGGTGTGTCATGACCTTGACCCAAGGTCATTTGGGGAAGTTCAAGGTCACTGAAAGAAAAAGTTCATAATTCATGTCCGGTCCATATCTTTTTTATGGATAAACTTGGTACCCCTGCGAAATGATCAAGAATAATTCTTGAACTTTTACGAAAAGTTCATGAATTATATTCTTGAATCAGCTCATGAATTGTTCATGAAGATCCCATGAAGTTAAAATTGGACACTCATGATTTCATGGATTTTATTCATGAAAACCAAGTTCAAGAATATTCAAGAATTATTTGTTGTTCATGAACAAACTTGGATTTTTTAAATCCCTGCAAAATGATCAAGAATAATTCTTGAACTTTCAAGAAAAGTTCATGAATTATATTCATGAACTTTCAAGAAAAGTTCATGAATGATATTAATAGGTTCAATGCATTTTCATGAACTATTCATGAATAATTTGTAAAAGTTATTTAGGAATGTTCATGAACTATTCATGAATGTTCTTGATTTTTGTAAACAAAAATGTAACAAGTTATGCATTTTAATGAAAAACTTTAAAAGAAAATATTTTAATAGCATCTTGAAAGATTTCACAGAATTTTTGTTTTCCAATCATGGTAACAAAATCTTTGTTCAAGCCGTAAACAACTCTGATAAGTGATAACGATAATAAATAAATAATGTAGTTCATTCCTAATAAATTGTAAAAAATTTCAATTCAAACGCAACTCTTTGCAGAATCCTTAACCTTACTTGGTCAAGAGGAGAGTGGGTTCCTTATTCAGCGTATTTCAAAGTGTATGCCTAAAATGGAATGATTTTTAATCCAAGTCTCACTGTCTGGCAGAAAAGTGTGTTCAGCAATTAGGGCATCAGCTAAAAGGGCTTTCAAGGATTTTGAGCAGAGGTGGTCAAATAAAAAAATCTTATTGGCTTTCCCTGTGGAATTTTCAGAATTTCATCACTTGGATCCTTTGATCGATTACGATTCATATTTTCATTCCTTTCTTTTGTTTTTCTTCAAGAGCCTGGATTTTTATATTCTTTTTTTTTTTTGGCAGCCAGAGTTTTTTAATCTTCTGATCTCAACTCATCAACATTACCTGTGAACTGCTTCTCTTTTCCCTACAAGAACAAAGATTTTCTGAAAATGCTCATAAATGTGAAAACTTAAGACTTGCAAATTTGTTTCATTTTATTCTGCATCATAGGCACTGGCATATTTTAAAGCATTCTGAGCGGGAGTTTAGCCTGTTTCCCTTGCCCGCCATGTTCAAGATGTTATAGGTGAACAGGATGGATGTTTCAATCTTTAATTATTATATGTAACGTAATTTGGTTGGATCCTTACTCATAACAAAGTTTGACAAAATTTTCATTAAAAAGGACATAACTGAACTCTTACAAATAGTCAGTAACATCTTGACAAATATCTCACAGATTCAGCGATTGCCTCCATTTTTTGTAATTCACCACTAATATCTGCAGTTATGAAGTAAATTGATCCTCTGGATATTCCTTCTTCGTATTATGTTATTTTCTTCAAAGGTTGACAAAGAATTACTACGCTAATAATCCTCCCACTCTACCGATTCACTTTCCAACATCTCGCGCTTTTCAAAGTTTGCGCCTTTTTAAAAGTGTCATGCAAAGCTAATTAAGAAATAGTTTCGAATTGCCAAGATTTTTGTTAAACAAAAAATAACAAACACTATCTGAATAATTTTTCACTGAAATTAATTTTTTAAAATTAATATAAGTTATATATTTATTGAATTGGATTTTTTTTTTACATTATACCTGTAGAGCCATAGTTTCGTATTCAAATATGGCCGCCTCCATATCAGAGGACAACAAATATCTCTTGGAACCACTCTCCCTCAAACTGAGTACCCTGAGCTATGAAATTGTATAGGAGAAAAGACTACAAAATACGAATGTGGTTCATGTCATAACCATGCAGCCTGTGCTGTATCATTTACACACGATGGACAGAAAAATGTGACTTTATAACAGCATCAAAATATAAAGCTTTCCGACTCAAGAATGGTACGGTACAGTACGGACAAGAGATATAATTTTTTAGTTGTCAATAAATTTATGATACGTTTTTACGAAGATTCTGAAATTTTTCCTAGACTGTAAGTCTGTTTCATTTTCTTACAACTTGTTAAAAGTTTGCCAAATAGAGAAAATTCAGTCGAACAAAGTTGTGTCGTGAAAAATGAGAAAATTTAAAGCACAATATTAATATAGCTGGCCAATTTAAACGATGAAGAAACATTAGTAATTCAATATGAGAATAAAATGCTGTCAATATTGATGCAGTGTTCTTTAAATTACGATCATAATTTAATTATAATCTCCCTTCTAGACAGTTCATAACAGAGTTTTATTATCCTGAAGAATCTAAGTTATCAATTACATAGACTAGAAAATAGTGATTTTAACCTCTTATGTTCCCCTACTCGGCTCTGATCCCATACTTTCAAAATCAAAAGAAAAGCATGTTATTAATTAAATCAGGGGCTTGTTCAACAATTGCATCTGCATGCAAAAGTTGTATTATGGGAGTAATGAGTGTTTTCTGGCGATCGTTTGTGACAATTATTTTTACATTTTTAGTCTTCATGAAAATTCATGAACATTCATTACCTTGAACTACAAAGTTTTTTTCTTTAAACTGAAAATTACCAATATTCATATTTGTTCATCATTTGTTCATGAACTATGAATTATGAATGTTTTCATGAATTTTATTCATGAACTACTTTTATGAACCTGTTAAGAATCCTTTAAGAACCATTCACGAACAATTATGAACAACTCATAAAGGTTCTTAAAATCATGAATATCATTTCGCAGGGGTAGGTTCTCATTTCACTCAAAGATTGCCCATGACCCAAGGGTGTGTCATGACCTTGACCCAAGGTCATTCGGGGAAGTTCAAGGTCACTGGAAGAAAAAGTTCATAATTCGTGTCCGGTCCACATCTTTCTTATGGATAATCTTGGTAGGTTCTCATTTCATGCAAAGATTGCCTTTGATCCAAGGGTATGTCATGACCTTGACCCAAGGTCATTTGGGGAATTTCAAGGTCACTGGAAGAAAACTTTCATAATTCATGTGTGATACATAGCTTTATTATGGAAAAACTTGCTTCTGAAAAAACCCAGCTGGGGGTATTTTGTCCCGTTTGGACAGTTCTAGTTAATTTTTAGTGTTTGTCAAATGTGTATGCCAGTTTTCACCAGAAGGCATTCAATCATTAGAAAGATTGATTGATTGAATATTGTTTAACGTCCCTCTTGAGAATTTTTCACTCATATGGATACGCCACCACTTGCTGGTGGAGAGCTCCAAATTTCGTCTTGATTACTCGGCACTTAGTGCCATTGAGCAGGGAGGAATCTTTTTCGTGCCAGCACCTACTGTGACACTGGACCTTGGTTTATTCAGTCTCATCTGAAGGACCGGTCTCCACGTCTCACAGTGGGATTGGAACCCTCGACGTAAGGATCAACTCCTCACTTTGCGACTCTAGAGCACTAACCACTGCGCCACGTGGGCGACAATCATTAGAAAGAAGAATTAACACAAAGTCTCAATTACTTCCAAACAGCCCTTGTATTATCAGGGTCACGTTTTACCTTCACCAATATTTCAGGTTTATCATTCTGAAACCAAAATTATGTGTATGGAAAAAAGTAATGTTCTTTGAAGCATACAAGATTTGAATTTTTGAATTTTCTTTTTCTTTTTCTTTCAGAGCATTAATGCTGCACTATTTTATGAAAACAAAAACGTGAGGGAATATGTCTCCTTGGTGCCCACTTCTGCCCACTCAGGAGATGGCATGGGCAATTTGATTGCCTTACTTTGTGAGCTGGCCCAAACCATGATGGCCAAGAGACTGGCCTATAGTGAGGAACTCCAAGCCACAGTCATGGAGGTAAATAGTTACTTAGAGTTGTCCTTCTTGGTATAATCAATAATCTAATGCATTGAGTATCTGATAATTGTAGACTTTCCCACAATATTACTTGTCTTATTGAAAAGGATGGGACACTGGGATGGGTGATGCAAGATTGAAATAAAAATAACCAGTAATCGTACTACAGTAATATAATTGTAAGGCACGGGGAGATGCTGGGAATGTTTATATGAGATGGCCAATTGGAGTTTTCCAGATGTTACGTAGATAATGGTGTGATGGGTGGGGGTGGGGATTATCTGCTCTGTACAGGAGGGCCTATATAAAGGTCCCTGACCTGTTCTGTATTTTAATTGCTCCAAAGTGCCTTATCAAATCACTCTACAACAAGATAGGTAGGCTTAGAAGGCTTTAATATCTCCCTCCATAGTAATAAGCCTCTTCCTCTTTAACTTTGATGAGCCACGAAACAGGAAATGAATTGATAAAATGTTACGCAAGCCTCTACTCTCAGGTGTTAGCATTTCATTCATAAATCTCATTATCAGTTTTCTAGTTGTGCAAAGCCTGGGTCCTTGCTAAATGAAGTCTTTCCTCCCATTTTTGTCCATTTGTGAAATCTTATTATCCTTTATTCATTGCATAACCTGAATTGCCCACATTGGACTTTTGGATTAAACATTTGAGATCCTTTGATATAAGATTGTGTAACTTTTCAAGTCCCAGGAACATTGCTTGTATTCAGAGAGAAAACTTCAAAGGATATTTACAAAATCCTTATGTGCTGATAGTGTTTGCAAGCAAGTTTAAAACTGGGATCACTTTAATATGAAAAAAATGCTTTAACCTTAGAAAAGTCAGTTTTTGAAAGGTGAAAACAATGAATGGGAATAAAATACATTGTAAGATATCATATTCACCTAAGTGTCCACACCCTATAAGGTCACCTGCATAATTTTTCACTATAAGGATTTACACACACACCCATCCACCACCTCTCCTTTTTTGGCCTCTTTTACAACCTTTACTAATTAAAAAAAAACTAGATCTAGTATCCACCTCATAACAATTTTCTGAGTGACTTGTGTGGATTTTTTTGTTTAGAGGAAAACAGTATTCACAGCATTATGTAAAACTCTCATTTTGTGAAAATAGACATTTTTTTGCCAATAAAGACTGTTTTTTTTAAATGAACTGTTCTCTCTCTGTGTCCTCTTTTTATGTCTAAGTACAAGATGCATGCGCCAGATAAAGACAAGATAGTGTACCTGGGCAGGCATGTTACAAGATGTCTGTTGTTGAGAGGATGTGTGTTATCTGATGACCCCCAAAAAAGAGAGGTGTTGCCCAGATCCTATCGCTGCACGCTCCTCATTTTCCATTCACAACACACACAGCTCTGCAACATTATCTCCCACTGTTTTTTTTTATAGAAATGGAATTAACTCACCAATTAGCTGTAACTTTTTTCCTAAATTTATTAAAATTTTAATAACTTTCTTAATAAAATTCAAATTTATTAATTTGATGCTTCAAGTTTACATTTTATAAATATGGATTATTTTGTTGTAAATTAACAATGAAATTATTTCAAAAGGGTTGCAAGTTTGATTATTTTTGTTGTAAAATTCTTTAAAAAAACATGCTTGTATGAATAATTTTTATGCCCCGCCATGAATATGGCTGGGCATATAGTGTTTGTCATGTCCGTCTTCTGTCCTTCCATCTGTCTTTCCGTCACACTTTACGTTTAGCTCTGTTCAAAGCTCAGTTTCAAAGGAACTGACCATTATATTTTCATTAAACTTCATAGGCTGATAGATATTGATGAGAGCTATGCAACTGCATCAACATTTTTTGACGTTGACCTTTCCTTTGACATTGACCTCACTTTTCTTAAATTAGTGTTTAGCTCAGTTTTAAACATACCATTCAATATGGTGTTATCAAACATCACATGTTGATACATACTGATGAGAGCTATTCAACTGCATCATCATTTTTGACCTTGACCTTTCCTTTGACCTTGATCTCACTTATCTTCAATTAGTGTTTAGATCAGTTTTAAAGATACCATTCAAGATATTTTTATCAAACTTCATATGCTGTTACATACTGATGTAAGCAATTCAACTGAATCAACATTTTTGACTTTGACCTTTCCTTTGACCTTTTTGACCTTACTTTTCCTAAATCAGTGTCAAACTTCATTGCTGATACATACTGATGTAAGCAATTCAACTGCATCAACATTTTTGACCTTGACCTTTTATTAGACCTTGACCACTTTATCAAATTGTGTTTAAGTCACGACCTCACTTTTCCTAAATCAGTGTCAAACTTCATATGCTGATAGATGATGTAAGCAATTCAACTGCATTATCATTTTTGACCTTGACCTTTTATTTGACCTTGACCTCACTTTTTTTCAAATTGTATTTAAGTCAGTTTTAAATAAAGAAATCATTTTAGATATTTTTATCAAACTTCATATGTTGATACATATTGATGAGAGATATGCAACTGCATCAACATTTTTACCTTGACCTTGACCTCTCACTTTTCCTCAAATAGTATCAAACTTCATAAGCTGATACATATTGATGTAAGCAATTCAATTGTATTAACATTTTTGACCTTGACCTTTCATTTGACCTTGACCTCACTTTTATCAATTTGTGTTTAAGTCAGTTTTAAAGAAACCTTTTATAATATTTTTTCAACTTCATATGCTGATACATACTGATGAGAGCTTTTCAACTGCATGAACAGTTTTTGACCTTGGCATTTCCTTTGACCTTGACCTCACTTTAAGGAAATTAGTGTGAAACTTCATATGCTGATACATACTGATGTAAGCATTTCAACTGCATCTCTATTCAAGATATTCTGATCAAATTTCTTACACTAATACAAATTTTCATGTTGCATAACTAATATACCCTCGGTGGGGCATTCATGTCCTATGGACATATTTCTAGTTTTGCTTAAGAGAGAAGGAAACAGGATTTTCCTGGAAATAATTTTTTTTTTAAATTCAATTAATTTTTTGTTGGCCAAAACCTTTTCCTCCGTCAGTGATGATGAAGGTATTCTGGTATGAAGATCAGGGAGATTTCATCATTATGTTCCATTTATATCACTTTTCTTTCAGATTACTTGTATATCAGTTTAATTAGAATGTGTGTTTAGATAATTAAAAATGAAATATTCAGTGAAGACATTTGTGTGCATACCCAGCCAACTTACCGGTATGCATGCATTTGCAGAAGGAAATTGGCTAGATGAAGAAATAATATTTGACAAAAATTGCAAACCTATTATCATTGCTACAGACTTCTATGACAAAGCTGGTCTTTTGGATTGATCTTGTGAAACAAGCTAAGTGGTTCTGTCGACACTAAGTACTTCATTCTTGTAAAAATCATCTCAAATTCACTACAAGTCCCCTGAATTCGCAGACAAGGCGACCCGACCATTTCCGGCCATGACCCTCTTTCTTTCAAGTAATTGCGTACATTTCCATTTCCTGTATTCAACAGTTCTTACATAAGTTGTCAGTTAAAAAAAAGATGATAAAAGTGCATGCAGAGTAGTCTTGTAAAAGAAAAACTTTTCTTCATTTCCCCTTAAATGGTTTGGACTTCTGAGAATTTTAAACCCCAAACTTTACTGAAATTGGATGACAGATTGAGTTCCCCACAACTTCAACAAAATTAATTTGGCTTTGTGTATAAGCTGGGGCCTTTGGATTCAGATTCAGTATTAAGCAATGTCACCAATACTGTGTCCACACATGCAAGAATAATTCAATGTTAACACGTAACAATAAAGGGAAAAAAATGCAGTATCATGCAAGTATCAATAAACAGATTGTTTTTCTGGCAGGAAGTCCAATGTGGCCACACATGGTGGGTTTGCATTTGTTAGGGAAATAAAGCAGGGCTTAGAGGATAGAAGCATTTGGAAAGATCTGAATTTGTGTTGTAAAAACAGGACAATCGTGTGGGTTCACTTCAGTCAGTATTTTGAATTTACCCTTCAAAGACGTGTCTTTTTAGACATAGAGAACAATTCTTTGGTGTATATAATTAAAGTCAAAAGAGTCATATTTAATGTCTTTCTGAATTTTGAGAAGGGAATGACAAAGAATTCAATGTGCTGAATCACTCAATATTCATTGATAATTTAATCATTGACAAGCTTCATAAAGTTTATAAATTGATTGACTAAATTTGATTTTGTTACCCATGCAGAATACATTTGTAAAATGTTATTTAAAGGGATGATAAATGATCTGAAATGAATGAATCTGCACTTTAACAATCAAAAGCTAATGAAAACACTACAGGCCATTATTGCTCACTATCACATTTGTTTCCAGAAGAAGAGTACACATAGTATCTAGTACTCTTGTTTTCAATGTTGCCTGTTCTGCAAAAATCAAACGCTTGATGACTTGAATCCAGCATGGTGCAGTGCATGGAATGCTACAGGGAATGGGCTCTTGGATTTTGTAGGTGGATCTACCCATTGCTCAAACCTCCATATGGAATCAAGGGAATCTTTAATCTCAAGTACTTGGAAGAAATATTTAATGGATGCAAGGTACCTGTAGGAAGAAATAAAGGAGTTAATGAAAAGAAATGAGAATGCAGGAATCTGGGAGCCACTGTTTTCTCCAATGATCTGCAAGCATCAGTGTTCAGTTCACTCAAGGACAAACAGAATAGAAATGTCTGTAGAGTAAATTGTATGCAATCAGCATGCAATGATAAGTCCATTTGATTTGATATATTGTAGACTAATTTTATGGTACACTAAAGCAGGGGGGTTTGGAGCCAGGGCCTTAAAGTTTATGAATGAAGCTAAAGAAAAAGAAATGATGCCTCAATGAACATATCAAAGGGTGGCATCAGCCCCTGCTATAATATAACAATTATATCTGCCATTGTGACATAATCTCTATCTGAAAGCAAATTCTTCACACAAAATTGTTTGGCATGCAAAATAAAAAATTATGGTTTTCCAAAATCTCAATTTGAAAGGGAGATGAAAAGACCTGACAAATGGAGGGAAGATTTGGCGTCAAATTTTAATTCAAGGATGGATAGGGATTTATGGTTTTCTATTTCTGAAGAGAAATCATGTTTAATGGATGTTTATTTTATTAAAAATAAAGTGATGTTTTTCGTAAAAGTTTGAAATGCGAATCCTGACATTCAATCTGTGTATATTTCACACTATTTAGTTAGATTTAGCATACACCTTTAAAACTTCATCAGCTAGTGATAGCAAATCATAAATTCATACTTAGAAGGTTTATTACATCAAGAAAATCTGAATATAATCAAGAAATCAGAGAAACACATTAATAATTTCCAAATATATTAAATGAAATTGGCATTAACCTTGGGTGAAATTTTATATAAAATGTATTTATGTTTTTTAAAGTTTTCAATTTCACACTTCTTTGATATTAGAACACACATTAAATGAAGATTGAAAGTGCTGGATTAAATTGAATTGGGTGTGTTTAAAGGTACATTTAATAAATCAGCACATTTCATCTTAAAAGTGTAGTTTTTATGGTCGCCGGCCCCAGCTATTTCCTCATTTTTGTCCGCTGTAGAAGGTATCTAGTACATGCGTGAAATCCATGTTGTCAGGCATTACTTGTCAATTATGTGTGTACTCTAAGACATTGTTCCAAGCAAGAGCATTTTCATGTTAACAAGTTGGTAGAGCCTTGTCTAGTTAGCTAACATTGACCCCAGCCTCAGATCTGATGCCATTTCCTCAATCCACTTTTTATGATCAACAAGATTTTCTAAAACAAACATTCTGTTGCAATGTAGGGAACAAATTTGTTTGCTTTTCCAGGTGAGTTGATTAAAACTCCCACTCCATTGACCTCTTGTCGAGTTTCCTCTTAAGCAAGTTTCTATCAGAGAAGAGTGAAAACTTTTGGCAGATGAGTCAGAAAGGAAGAGAGCTGTTGACTCTCTTGAAAAAAGGGCTTTTTTTTTTACAAAGACTGTCTGAATTGAATGTATATTCTGATAACAGTGTTGACCCTTTGGAGAGTATCTTGTCTTGCATGTTTATGACACAGAAAAATCATTGCTCTTATCTTTTCGGTTTGAAGACATTGAATTGATAAATCAAAGTATATTGATTTAATAGTTCCAAATTTATGGATATGATTCCTAGATAAAACTCCTATGAATTCAAGGTCACTTCATTAATTAATTAGTTTGCAAGCATGAAAATTGAGTATGAAGAATACTAATTGAATATAAATACTACTGTATAATATTAAATGAAGACCTACTCCTTGTCATAATGCAAGTCTTACAACGTTAAGACAGAAGTTTCCAATATACGAGTCCCAGTTTTTTTCTAATAGTTGAATGTATTTGACACAGGTGAAAGCCTTGCCTGGCTTGGGTACCACATTAGACATTATCCTGGTGAATGGTTCAATTCGGGAGGGAGACCAGATCATCGTCCCGGGGACAGAAGGACCCATAGTCACTCATATCAGAGGACTACTGATGCCCCAGCCAATGAAAGAGCTAAGGGTCAAGGTATGTAACGATTGCTTGTATATTATATAGGTTAGAAACGGGTACAGTAAAATATGCTTATAACGGACAGGCTTATTACGAATTAACGCTTAAAACAAAGTGATTTTTATTCCCCCTTGTTTTATTTTTTTTTTTAGTGTCAACAGAACTATTGCTAACTGCTGTTAAGAAAAGGCATTGCCATTGCATGCTAGCCTAGATATTAACACAAAATTTTTTTCTGGATTCTTTACTGCTAATTAGAGTTGATAAAAGGCAAAATCAGTTTTAAAAACGTTTTATTTATTGACTCAGGATTTCAGCAATAAGAGATATTTAATATTTTTAACGATATAAAATTTTGAAAAATATGCATATTTAAAGTTAGAAGTTGATAACACATCCTGTTTATTGAAATGTGTTAAATTTCAATTTAAATGTATCTCTGATAGGATCATTCATATATTTTTGCAGTGGTTCACAATAAAATAGGTTTGAATGTGAAGTTGGAGTTGAAGTTGTTGTAAAAATAAAGAACTTTGATAAACAGAAATAAATTTCATGGATAAAGATTTGACTATGCATAAGTGACATTTATATAGTCACTGAGACAGATCAAGGGCTGCTCTAAGACTTGGCTATAGTTTGATCAAAAGTAATGAAAAGTGATCTGAAACCTTTAATTTTTGTTTATAATCATGAATGTTAATATTTGCAGGTAAATACAGGCCTTTGGCCCAGCAAATCCAAAGTTAAGGCTACATGTAGAAATCAAGTTAATCTTTCTTGTGAAACCTTTATAAGTCAGAGTAAAAATGTGAAAAGTTACCACACACAGAAAGACAATTGGGTGGAACATTTAGTAAAATTACCCCACCCCCCACACTCTCCCTCAATTATAGAGTCATTGAAAAAAAAAAAATATGTACCACCAAATATTGACATAACTAATATTGACTAGACAGATAACTTTGTTGTTTTTAGTCTAACTGGGAGCATCATAAAGAGGTGAAGGCCGCTCAGGGGGTCAAGATCATCGCCAAGGATCTGGAGAAGTCCCTCGCGGGTCTCCCCATGTACGTGGCCAAGAAGGACGATGAAGTGGAGTATTACAAGGTCAGTCAAGGTCATCTCTCCAGTAAAAGGGAAGGTTTCCTTCTTGATTTAATAGCTGTATTTTGATTGTATCTTTATTCATTATCATTCATTTTTATCACTGCATGTTTTTTGGCGCTAAGTGTTTATGTGAATTTATGCTCTGAAAATTCAACATGAGATGCAACTTTATGGAAAAAAGTACTTGTGTACTGTGTAGCATGCACAACACTAAAATATTGTTATAGATCCTTATAAAATGATGATGCAATAAAAAGGAACAATTAAAACATAGGCAAGATGACAAGAACCTGATTTTATTTCATAATGATGGGATTGGGATATGATAGGTCATCATGAATGTCTAACATTTTAGTTTTGTCTGGTTCTTAATGCTAGAGAATGCTATAAAGAAATAGATTTACCTATCAGAGATCTGCTACAAAATCAGATACAAACTGCAGCTGTCGAGGAGAGTGCAGAGTACCTGAAAGCTTACAGAGAATGTTTAGCTCACTAAACTGAAAGTTTAAGCGAGTTTTTCTGATCACATTTTATTGAGTTTGTCTGTCTTTCTGTTTGTTGGTCAAGAAAAGCTTCTTGATTTATGCTTTAGATTCTAGTTAATTCTCGACCTCAAGGCTGCCCAAAATAAGTGATCAAAGTTTTTACACAGTATATATTTATACAGTTTTCCAGTTTTTCAATTTTCGTATAAGAAATGAAAACACACACTGTCAGGTCATTTCTTAAGACAAACAGGGTAAAACTACTACTTCTGAATGCAGCATCAAAAATCTTGTGCAAAGCAGGCTTTTGAATATACATTACTAAAGTTGAAAAATTGTAGCCTTTGGAAAATCTGTTGTCAGGTGACATAAGAGTTTCTGAAGGATTGTTTATAAAGTCTAGCACTTCTTTTGTTCTTCTTTATTTGTTGTGCTAAAAGTACTATCCAGTTAGTTAATGGGTTTAGGTACAATAGAGTCATTGATCTTTTTAACACTTTACCTTCAGGGGCTCAGTTGAAGACAGATGATTTCCAAACCCATGCTAGGTGGGTTTTTTTGTTTTTTTTGTTTTTTTTGAAAGGACTCTTCTTAATTTTGTCATCATCTGCCCCAAGACTCCCATTTTAAGAGCAGCTGAACTTCCTCATGTAAGGTCTTGTGACACTGTGATATCAGCAAATTAATTATCTTTTCTTAATTAAAGTTGTGAAATTGCAGTCAAATTTTAAAGGGAAGAAAGTCAACTTAAAAAAAAATTGTTAAAAACGACAAGGCATTTTTCTGTAGCATTGCAAAATTAACTTCCACACCAGTATCCAGATTATTTTGTGGAACAGCCCAGAAGAGCCTTGTAATAATGAGAGGGGAAATACAATGGAGGTCTAGATATTAAAGATGGTGTTGCGACATTGATGGTTTAGGGTCCCAGCACACAACTGTACTTGAAAACCAAAATGATGCACTTCAGTTTCACATTGACATTTTTATGTTGATGTACTCTATCAAAACAAAAACTGAAAATGAGAATGCCCCTTTAAATCTGCAAGCAAAAAGTAAATGCCCAGTGGCACCTGCTTAATGAACTAAGCTAGGTCATGTTTGGCCAAAAAGTGCAGGTGACTCTAAACTCTGTCAAATTATTGACTTTCTTTTAAAAATCTAGGGCCAGGATATTTTACGAAATACTCACGTCTGAATGAGAATGAACAAATCGACAAAAAAAGGCAGGAAATGTAGCTCATTGATTAAATTGATTAATGTATGTGTGTGTTTCATTGATAAAACATGCCACAGACCTTCTTTTTTACCCCTGAAACATTGACATAGTACAATCAATTTCAATTTGACAGCTGTACACGCCAGTTTTCTTTTGAGTGAACAAAATTTAAACCAAGTGTCTATCTATGTTTTCAAATAATTCAGAAAAATTCTGTAAACTTAGGTGTGGTCATTGACTGGAACATTTTCTTTCATGACATACTCATCATTTCCATAATTTTCATGGTGGTGTAAATTCTTTCATGAATATCAAATTTTTACAGGTATTTTGATTTTAAAAATTACGTTCATGCATACATGTTGGTCATTGATTTGACAGTGTGTAGATACCTATTCAGCTGATGGAAATTTTTGTATGGCAGGTATTATATGGTATGATGATGATGTTATCTCAATATGGTGATGATGATATTATCTGATGACACAGGCAGGTGTTCCTGTGTCAAAAAATTTACTTGAGTAAGCAATAATTACCTATATTGAATATAGGTATATTATTCCTATATTATGGGGGTATTACATATGTCACTTAAAAATCTGGTGTCTTCTACAACAAGATTTCAAAATTCTAGATTTTTTCCCCTAGAAAGACATATACATTATGGCTTATACCTCAGCTAAATGCTAGAAATCGTTTAAGTACCGTGTACATATGCACCTGTACCAGTATTCTGGCAGGCTTTATTCCTGCATTGTTCTTGTTTCAGCATACCAGTGTCGTTTTTATTTCATTTTTAATGGATAATGACAATGTTATCAGAAGTTTAAGGGGACCACTGATTTTCAATAGGGAATCTTTTGCCTTTTATAATAAATGTGTAAGGCTAAGTTAGTTTTATGCTTTCTTCTTTTGACAAATGTTGCCAAAATCTCAAAGTATGTGTCGCCAATATAATCCCTTGCCATCAGACATATTCACAAACTGTGGTGTAATTTACTAATTTTGCGGTGTGTAGATTCTTCTGATAGCCTTGCTATTAAAGCTTTAAAAATCAATTTGGATCTTAATTGTCCATTGAAAGTTTGTGAGAAAAAAGTTGTTCCATGTGTTGTATTAATATACCCTGAGTTATGATTACAGCAGGTATACATCATTTGAACTAAATTTTTTGTAATTACAGGGCTGTATTTTATTTCATTTTCTTGAAGGGAGCGCCAATTTGAAGATGTATTGATAGTAATTGAAGCATAAATCAAGGCCTGACTGTTCATTCACATTGTAGGTTTAGAAATTAGGTCCACTCCTAGGTTGTGTGAAGGGCTCTTTTGTTGTCAATATTTTATTTTGAAATATTAATTTCTTTTATAATCAAGTAATAGGTGGCCTTTTCTCCACTAAAATAGTAATGGAGTATCATCAATTTGGGATTTTATAGGGTTATTCTTTCTAATTGATCACACCATACATAGAGATTCAACACACAAAAAAATCCCATTAGAAAAACCAACTCCTTGCAAAAAAGGAAAATTTCCTGCAATTAATCTTCTCAGAAGTCAATTTGTTTCTGATAATTAAGGTCACATACTAAAGATGGTCAATCAATCAACAACAGTACACGAGTACCTGGCTCATGCTCTCACCATTTCATTGTTTAAGATTTATAATTATCTGAGGTTTTTTTCCACAAAAAAAGCAATTATTTTTTCCCCTTCCTAAGAAGCAATATGTTTTTTCCAAAAAAAAAATGTAGCAGAATATTTTCTGTTCATTAACTTATTTCTAGCTCACCTGAGCTGAAAATTGAAGTGAGCTTTTCTGATCACATTTTACCTAGCAATTGTTTGTCTGTCTGTTCTGTAAGGTTTGTTCAAATTATGACCCCCAGGATAGGGTGGGTTCACAATAGGTAAACAAAGTTTTAATAAAATATGTACAGGAAAAAAAATCTTTAATAATCTTTATCTCAAAACAGCAAAGATATTAGTCAGCTTTATTTAGAAGCATACTAAGGTATCTTCAGAATTTTAAGAAGTTTTATATATGAATATGCATGGAAAACCTACTAATGAAGAACAGTAGAGGTCATAGCGACTAGGCTGAGCATTGTGACCCATGAGCCTCATTTAATTTTTCAGGAGGAACTGTCTGCGGCCCTGAAAGAGGTTCTGAGTAGCATTAAGCTGACAGAAAGAGGAGTCTTTGTCCAGGCGTCCACTTTAGGGTCACTGGAAGCTCTACTAGAATTCCTACGGACTTCTAAAATTCCTGTAAGCCACCTTTCCAACAAAATGTTCTCTAACTGTTAGATGAACTATATATTAAATAAAGGTCAAAAGTCTTGGTGTTTAGCAAGTAATTAAACATGATATTTTTGAAATTGTCATTTAACTTTGTGTTTTTGCCTTTCAGTATGCGGGCATTAATATTGGTCCAGTGCACAAGAGAGACATCATGAAAGCATCTGTAATGTTGGAACATGACAGTCAGTAAGTGATACACCTTAATGTACTTCTAAAAGTGAAACTGCAGCATTTTTATTGCAGTGCACTTTGCAACTATGAGTCTTGTATACAGAAATTTTAATGGACCATTGATAATGGCATCAAATTCTGCCTGAAGAGCTGATTGGCACAGATTTAGTCTAACGGTGTCACTTTATTCTGGGGTGTCATGTCTTATACAAAAAATTGAGCCAGTATTATGAGCATTTCCTCTCCTTTATTGCAGGAAAAGACAGCCATTAAAATGCTAGCAAAACTTCATTCACACATAATTGAAATCTTGAAATGTTTGAAGAATATGTCAGTCTGATAATGAT